ACCATTATAAAATATCCTAATACCTTTATACATTAAAAAACCCATAATCATTCCAATACACTGTATTGTATTTGTATGGAGAGTATTGTCACTGTAAAATTACTTCAGAGACAAAGGTGATCAACATAAATGCTACATTTCCTTAAAAAAAAAACCCTGCATTTTTATTTAAAATCTAATTCAATTGCTTGGAACAATGCTGAAAATAGAAGTCTGGGTACAGAACATACTCATTTTGTTTTCAAGTTAGAAAAGTATCTGTATTTTTGTTTTTATAAGCTTTATCAGCACTTTTGCAAAGAAAATAATAACTGTATTCACTGAGTAAGCATAATATCTCTGGAATTAAATATACTGTCTTACTGGCTAGTTCCCAGCTTCAATTGTAAGGTAGAACTGACACTTACTGACGCATCTAGGAGAGTAGATTCATAGCACAACATTTCTCAAATATTTAAGCAAATTTTTTGCAAAAGAAAAAATCCCGTAGAATTATTATTTCCATATTTACACTACCTTATGTGGATTTACAGTATATTAGGAAAAAGTGTTATGTTCCTGTTCTAGAAGTCAGACAACATTATCTGTGTTAAAGTTATACAGAACTATATTTATAAACTTTAATTTAGAATCCAGACATAAAAATAGGCATAAAAGTTGTGGCTGCTCATATGGAGCCAGGAAAGACCTATTTGCCTTTGAAATTCCTACACTGTGGCTTCTATACCACCTTTACTTCTCTATTTCTGCCTCCCACACAGCAGTCCTGTTTGTGAACTCCTCCAATACAATGTGTGCAGCTCATGGAGCTCATCAGTTAAGCATCCTGCCTCCATTCTGCAGAGTACTTGAGAACATTCTTAGAGCTTGCTTTATTTGAGCAGAGATATCTTGCAGATGTTTAATTTAAAGCTCGTGTGTAGTCTCACTGAAGTAAATGGGATTACTGAAGTACTTAAAGTAATTCCCTGCTGAATCAGGCTTTTATGGGTAAGAATAAATGTGCCTAATTTTTATTCATGCATCAGATATCTATAGACTAATAGTTTAAACTCAGCAGTTTTGTATCCAGTTAATGTTAAATCTCTGGAGTTAGTGTGTCTTCACCTGCTGCATCTACCATCCCTGTACCAAGGGCCTTTTTACATAAAACCCCACAGCACAGTTTTTGCATACATACTGTGTCACCATGCACTCGTGTTTCGTATACATACAGTGTTATCAGACCTAGTGCTGTGATGACTTCTTTGTAAATGATAAATAATCTGCACCTGGCCCTCATATTTTCTGAGTGTTACATGTATGAAAGACTTCAGAAAAGAACTCTTATAATGTAGATTAAAAAAGTAGCGGAAGCAATTCTATTTATTTTGGACAAAAGAGATAAACTCATTCATAGACCTATAACTGCTTACTTCCTGTATCTATGGAGTTGTAGAATAATTTTTAACTTAATTCTGGGCAGAAGGAAAGGAAACAAAATCGGTGGATCTAAGGTATTTAACACATACATGCTAAAGGTTGCATATGAACAATACTTACACCGCAGCCAGAAGGAAACACATATTGGCATGAACTAAAGTTGAGGCTTGTCAATGCAAAATCTGTCAGAAAAAAAAACACCAAAAAACCTCAAATAATAAATCTAAAACCTTATCAGCAATGAGACACCTGTGATGTCTTACATCATCAAGACCTGGCTGACTGATGCTAAGAGTTCTCTGCAAAGCACTTCTATTCTCACATGGATCAAAATTTAAATTTTCAGCAGGGAATAAGAAAAGGCTGTCAGTGATGAATTCATCTTGTCATCAAGTGTCAAGTTCATTTAAATTGATTACTTCATTTTAATGAATACACCTGAAAATATAAACCACATGCAAAATTACCACTGATTTTAGCATCATTTGCAGATCACTAAAAAAGGAGCCACTGACCCACGTGTGATAACACAAGAAAAATAATACGATTCCCTCCTAAAATTTTCATTGTTTCATCTCTGGCCTATCTGATCTTGTTGATTCATCTAATCTAATATTAAAACCTGTAAAATTTAAACCAAGGGGGTAAAACAAAGGACTAATAGGCAGATGCCTATTTCATTTATGCAACGATACATCATCTTCTACTGTACAGATGTAAGGACTTAAGGCAGCCCCAATTAGTTACAGGTTTGGGATACCATAATAGACGTTAGATCAATAGCTTTAGGGATAAACAATTTATCGTCAAGTAACACTACAGTGACACATGTGCATCAGGAGTGCAATTACCCAGGTCATTACAACAGCAAATCCAATTATTCACTAGTACAACTACTGAGGTGGAAATGACAGCAAATCCAGTAATTCACTGATACTCAGGTTGGTAAAGGACTTGCGCAACCGTGATTATTGTCCAGGCCGTTAGGCAGCAGAACATGGCTGCTTCTTCAAAGAAGCAGCGCAGATCCACAGAGGGGCTAAGACAATCTCATACTCCCTCAAGAGGCTACCTCTTCCACTGCCAAGTTGAAGAAGCACTGTCTGGACTTGCTAACCTGTCATCACTCTCCACCTCTGCTCCCCTCTGTGCTGGTTGTGTCCCTGCTATGCACAGGGTGTCATGTAAGGCAATAGTGGCTTTACACCTCTGTTGTGCACACAGCACCCAGAAACACCATGTAAAGCAATAGTAGCTCCCCAACAGATAAACCCAATGCTCAACAGCTCCAGTTCAAGCGCGACAACTCATGTACTTCATAAAAACTTCTCATATAATAACATGCAGTTATAAACAGAAGACCTCAACAGCTAGTTAATTGTATACCAGTATCAGTTATTACGCATGCTGACTTCCAACGGGTAGTTACCCACACCCATATAAAATATCTCACTCTTCCGAAATTCTGTTGGAACGTGACAGGGCTTTATTTTGTGTCAGAAGAAAAAAATCAGAAAAGAGATTATTAGAGTGAAAATAGTGAACTCCTCAAAGCATACGTGTCATGACAACTATTGCTTCCAATCTTTTTCTTGAGTAAGAAATGCAAGACATATAGGGCATAAAATCTGATGAGGTCAAGCAATACTCAGAGGATGCTGTACCACATCTTATTCAGCAATCCCACCCACTGCAACATTTTCAGACTTCCCCTCCATTCTCAATAATGGCTTTCCAAAACTCTCAAATTGCAGTGAAGGTCTCACTACTCAACTTCAGAACACTATACAGCCTCGTCCAAAGATATGTTAAAGACTGCATGCCTATGCTACAGAAACAACATTCCTGTATGGTTTTCTACACTCCAAAACTATGGAATAAAATTCCCCGGGGAAAAAAGGGGCATTGAAAGCTTCCTCTTCTTCTCATGGACAAGGCACAGGTCTTTGATGGTGTCTTTTTTTCCTTGTACATATGTGTCCAAATACGTGTGCAGAGTCTTCTACCTATGCATGTTCAACCAGAATTAGAAATCCTCTTATTGGAACAGAAACAAGCACACACTTCTTACTATGACAAAAGAGAAGAGAGGCATCTATCAGTTACGGTGCTCAACTCTGCCCTAGAACGAGTAGAGATACTTTGGCACTGAACTGTGTAAGCATGGTATAAAAATGTACACAGAACAATGTGCTGTGAAGGACAAAGCTTGAAAATTTTAACTTCAATGGATATGTTTAGTATGTGCAATATTTTAATTTCATTTAGGTTTAAGTCAAAACTGCTTATAACTGGGCTGAATTCGGCATAGATTTCTGAAGCTTAACTGTTTCAACTTCCGATGCCTTTTCTTCAAATCCTTCATTTACAATTATGTTTCTGGTTTTACTCATTACTCCTAACATAGCTTTGCTATTTCTCCATGTTTCCAAATCATCTGTGTCCAGATAGTACCACTCTCCACGACTGACAAGGATGATTCATGCTTTTAACAAAACCCCCATTGAAGAGGAACATTTTATTTCAGATTTTCTTCCAGTCCTGGATTGTAACTGTGAAAGAACAGAAAGCTAAGATGCCCTATGACAGGAGGTTTCAATCCCTTCTCCACTATTCTGTCTACTGTTTCTACTCTTCCATATTTCTCCTGTCATTCGCCCTTATATTTCTATCTGATTATCAAATATCTGGCAAAGGAGGACTTGGCAGGATTTAGCGCCCTTCAGTCACCCGTCGGCCGTGAGGCTGATGGTATAATGAGAGTGACTTATGAAGTTCCCAGCAGCCTCAATATCGTCCAAGTTCCTTTTACCCCTCATTTCTCCACCCGTGGAACACGGTGAGCTCCACGTGTGGTTTGGAAAAGGGACAAACCACAACTCGGCTCTGCCCTGCACGAACAACTTCAGCTGAAAGCTAGTCTTCAAGCTCAGGGAAAGTGAAAATTAAAAAAAAAAAAAAAAAAAAAAAGGCAAATGAAGACTCACAAGTAGCACTCGAAAGCCCTCTCATTTTGCCTGCGTTGCAGGTGCAGTTGCAACCTGTTCGGGAACCCGCGGGGTGGGCAGCGCCGAGGCAGGGCACGGCAGGGCAGGGCGGCGCAGCCGGAGCGCGGAGTCGCCGCTGCCCCCCGAGCACCGCGGGGACCCCGGCGCGGTTTGCGCGCTCCCGGTCCCGCCCCGCCCCGGGACACGCGCGTCCCCGACCACCGGGGGGCACCTTTTCCCGGGAACGAAGGGCACAGGGAGACCTCCCCCGGGGGCAGCCGCCTTTGCCTGGTCGCTCCCGGGGGAAGAGTCCATCTAGGTGCGGCGGCAGCCAGCGTAGCCCCCGGCCCGCCCCAGGGGCGCGCACCTGCCCCGCGGCGGCGGCCACACCGGGGGCGGAACCGGGCGGGCACGGAGGGGCGGGCGGGGAGGAGCGGGGGGCGGGCGCCGCTCGCCGCCGCGAGGCTGCGGCTGGGCTGGGCGCGGGCGGCCGGCCGGCGGAGCGCTCGCAGTCGCGGGGAGCGCCGGAGCTGTCGGCGGGCGGGAGGGGAAGGCAGGGCAGGGCAGGCGGAGCAGGGAAGGGAAGGCGGGCAGGAGGCGGCGGCGGCGCCGCGCTCGCCCCGCTGCCCTGGATGACGGGCGGCCGGTTCGACTTCGACGATGGCGGCACCTATTGCGGCGGCTGGGAGGACGGGAAAGCCCACGGGCACGGCATCTGCACCGGGCCCAAGGGGCAGGGCGAGTACGCCGGCTCCTGGTCCCACGGCTTCGAGGTGGCGGGCGGCTACACCTGGCCCAGCGGCAACACCTACCTGGGCTACTGGGCGCAAGGCAAGCGCCACGGTCTGGGCGTGGAGACGAAGGGCAGGTGGATGTACCGCGGCGAGTGGTCTCACGGCTTCAAGGGGCGCTACGGGGTGCGGCAGAGCCTCAGCACGCCGGCCCGCTACGAGGGCACCTGGAGCAACGGGCTGCAGGACGGATACGGCGTAGAGACCTACGGGGACGGAGGTGGGCGCCGGCGGGGGGCGCCCCGCGCGCGGCGGCGCCGGGGGACGGGCGGGCAGGAATGGCGGGGGGGGGGCGCCTGCGTGGGCGCGCCGCGGGAACGGCCCCTCCTTCCACCCCCGCGCCCTCACCGGGGTCTCTCCTCCTTCCCTAGCCCGAGGCGGTGCGCCGTTCCCTATCCGCCCCCGAGGCCCGGCTGGCGGCCAGGGAGCGCCACAGGTGCTTGGCGCCCGCCCCGCCCCGCTGCGTGAGGAGCCGCCCGGCCCCGGCTGCACTCCGGGAGGGCTGTGCTGCCCAGGCTCGGCGCTTTCTCCCGGCCAGCTGGTAGAAATCCGTATTACGGCCGCCTGCAGACGGCTTTCCTTGCTCCCCGCCCGCGGTAGCGATGGCGGGGGCGGCCAGAGGCAGGCGAGCCCCGCCGCCTCACTGTCTTCGCACCGTGGCCGTGGAGAAACGGCAAGAACTTAATAACAGAGCCCTTGTGCGGTGCTGCTGTGCGGGCAGGGGTGGCTTTGTGCGCTCAGTTGGTAAACAGGAGACTGAGGGTAATGGAGTGGGTACGCAGCTTGCGTAAAATCAATGAAACTTGGGTCCACCCTCATGTAATAACTACTATTTTTACCAAAATACGGGATAGTTTAAAGCATGCTGCCCAAAGCACGAGGTGTGTAGTGAAGTTACACAGACCTGCCTCTCACACCCTTCACCACGACAAAGCAAATGTTCCGGGGCTGAGCTCTCGGTAGGCGTGCGGAGGGAACGGGGCGATCCGCCCTTCTGCCGAAGTCGGGAACGGTCAAGAAGTCAGGGTTCAGTAAGGTCACTGAGGACTGGACCTCACTGGAGCCCTCAGTTACAGTTATTGTACTTGTGTCACTTCATGCTGTGCACGCCAAATAAGCCTGATACTGTTTAATTCATCCTTTGCTGCTATAATGTCGTTGGCATCAGGGGAAGTGCCACCTGCAACTTCTGCAGAGTTGCTCTTCAACTTGGAAAAATCTAACAGGTTTGGTAAGACTCATTTCATTCAGGAAACGAAAAGTACAATGGGTTTTGCACCTTTCTGCCTCCTTGTTTATGCATATTTGTAGCTGTCTGAAAATTGTTTTCTGGTGTGGAAAGTTCTGATGTTCAAAGTCAGCTGAGATGTGTGTTTGTGGATTAAAAAAAAAAAGGAAAACAGTACCAAAATCAAAGTATGAAAGAGATCAGGATTTTATTTTCACTTTCACTATGCAATACACTTTTTATTATATTTGTTTTAGCTAATAAATTACACGCAGAAGAACATCTGAAATTGCAGTGCCGTCTTTTTTTTTATTTATTTAATTTTAAAATTTTTTTTCCTGGAAAAGTAAATTGCCATTCCAGTAAATCTTCTAGAAATCACCTTTTCAAATTCAGGTTCTTATTAATAAGTTCTTTTTCCTTTAAACTTCCTGTGAATTTTTTAAAAATCTTAATATAATACTGATTATTGGAGGTTAATTCTCTAAATTTTTAGACTTGGAACAGCATATGAAGTGTGCGGTTTACACTGCAAGATTTTTAGCCCTGTTACCTGAAATCTGTTGTCATAGCCTCAGACTTTTGCATGTTGCAGTTCATACAAACAGAGGGTGGGAAGTCCCATTGATTTTAATGAAAGTACTCATGAATGGAGCAGAGCAGTACGTCATAGATGCTTGCAGATGTGTTTTTGTTTTTGTGCTCTGGAAACAATAACTGTACTTGCACACCAGAAGAATGTCTGAAATGTTTTTATAAGGGAACCAGATTTACATATGTGTCTTTAATATACTTTCAAATATTTACAGAAAAGCTCTCTTGATGACCCGAGAATACCAGTGTAGAGAAATAACTCTTTAGACTCTGCCACTTGCCAGTTTGTTTTCAAACTTTGTATACTCTAGGCCTCTTTGCTGCTATTTTTTTCTCTTTTTGTTTCTTTCCCTAGTATATTGGTTTAGAATGCATTGGTGGTATTAGGAGATGTGGTTTAGGGAGGGAAAAGGAAAATAAGCATTGACAGTGTTCCTCAGTGTTTCTGCACACAACACTTCGCACAACATGAGTAATAAACATCATGCTGTGTTCAGATGCTTAAATTTGTCACTCAGTCTAATCTCTGGGGAAAACACTGTGAGTTATAAACCATGATCCTCCATTTGTTGCATGTGATTATGTAGGGCCTTAAAGTGTCCTGTCAGACCGTTCCCGACGGCAGTCTGGATTTTTGTGCCCCCTTTAAACTCCCTAGGTTTGTTGAATCTGTGTGAATCTGCAAACCTACCAGAGCTTTTCTTATGCAGGGACTGTGGCCTAATTTGAAACTTCAGTATGTCTAAATGAGTTATTTCTGGTCCTTCCAACAGTAGCAATAACTGGTTGTGTGGTCGTGTTCCACAGAGGGAGATCGGTGGCAAAAGCACCCTAAGCAGAGGTCATCAGTAGTACATATGTTCATTGATTTCTGAGAGCTCTTCTTTCTAGGTCTGTGCTTATCTAACATTTGAGTCTGAAAAGCATGCAAAAATCTTGATATAACAACGAATTTGTTAAAGCACAGAATATGTAAGTAAAGGATAAGAGCAAATGCAGTAGTTAAATGGATCCTTGGCCTCTCAGTTTTTTTCACAGTGTAGTTTTAAATTTTAGCTGCAAGTGGGCAATGACATTTACAACTGTCAGATGCACCAAAGGTGTTTTAGAAGGGATGGCATAATGTAACTCTAAGGAGACAGGTTAGGAAATTATATCTTGGAACAACTTGCCAACAAAAAGAAAAGGAAAAAAAAATATACTTTTTAATATGTGAACACCTTTTCAAGGGAACCAGTTAAACACCAGATAGATGATCAGTAGAACTTGTGGCTGAATGTTTCAAGGGATAGCAAGCCTAGCTTTTGAAAAAATCAGTGCTGAACAATGTTATTGTTTTATGGTCAAATAAAACTTTAAATTAGATCGATAATTACAGTGTTAAAATTAAAATTTTAACAGTTGACCCTTATAGCAACTGCTTTTGACAGTCAACTACAGTATAAGGTGAAACATGATAAGGTGTGCTTGTTGATATATCATTCATATTTATATCTATATGGAGAGGTAAATAGTGCATATGTTTGTATCTTCATATATGGGAAAAACTTTTTATCATGTCTTATACATTGTAGTATTTGGTTATTTTGAAACATTGACATACCTTTTTTTGCTCATTTAAAGATTTCTAATTTTTTTTTTTTGTTGAATAAGGTGGTGCAGTTAAGGGCTGATATAGTCAGTCAAATTACTGTACAAGTCTCTTGTATCTGCATTCTGGACACTGCCCTCCATATGCCTTTAAAATACTTTTCCTTTAAAATATAAGTTGAAAAATAAAGGAAAGCTTCTCTTTAGAAGAAGTTGGCATTGATTTTATTTCCCCAGTAGAAAGAAAAATTGGACTAGTGAATAGCAGCACATCAATTGTTCTTGTTCTAATGCCCTTATGAACAATAGTGACACTTCCATTTCGTTGTAGAGTAGGGAAAAATACAAGTCCTAAATTAGTTAAGTATTTTTGAGCTTTCCATGTTTATTAATTAAAATATTAATATGAAAAAGGCTGACCCTTTATACTTTTATAAAATTCTATACTGAAATAAATTGATTCTGCTTCAAGTCTGACATTCAAATAGCAACATGGAGAGCCATGATTATGAGTTGCTGCTCTAATGTAATATTGTGTTATAATCAAAATTAGACTTAGATTTATTATTTCAAAATGAAATTAAATGGTGCAGAGTGTTAGATTATTATATGCAGCCGTAAGTATGTGTAGCCAGATTCTTAGCTCCAGCATATCATTGGAATACTAAGGGGATCCCAGAAATAATTAGGGACAAAATGAAGTAATTTATGCTCATAAAATATTAATATATTTCTAGGAAATGTCTGTTTAATAAAACAAAAAAAAATACAATGTGGCTGTATATTTTCAGTATTTACAGAATACGTCATACCAGTGCTTTGTGCTCATGTTTCTATTTGTTCTTCCCCATATGCTGAGTTTTTTAAAATAATCATGTTCCTAGATTCAGCACCCTTACAACCAGTGCAGCAGGAGGTATCCAGGATACAGAGAATGAGAAAGAAACTAAGAAAGTTGTTTGTTTGTGTCAGCAGCCATCTGTTAAGACAAAAACCTTCCACTTGGTAGAATTTTCTACCAACACAAAATAGTTATGTTGTAGAACCTATCTAGTGTTATATAATAAAGAAAACAGACTTAGCAAATTGAATTGCGAATTAGCATTGAAATAAAACTTAGAAGAAGACATAATTCAGCAAAGCAGTACTTGATAGATGCACACAACCAAAACAGTATGCTTATACGAAGGAGATAGAATCTCAAAGCCAGTGAGTCTTTAAGATACATCTAAAACTGCAGATATTTCACAAATATTTTCACAAAAATTTTATCAATCACTTAATTTGACATTTGATGTTCAGTTCTCTGAATAGTTAATAGGTAGTCCAATTAAAGCAGAGCAAAATAAAAAAAGATATTTTAAGGATTGCTCATTCATCCCTCTGTAAGAATATTCAGATTTAAAATAGCTTTGTTTTAAAAAAAAAGAAACAGCACTTGGTAGGCGAGAGGCTTCATTTTGAGGAGCTTAAAGCAGTTTAATGGAAATTTGAGTGAAATTATACTAGAAAGTGATTATCTTGTATATGCTAGTTGTGAGGTTCCTGCTACCTTCCTTTGGAACTTCTGGTACAAATGGCTTTCAGAGGCCAGACACTGGCAAATGTCAAAATGAGAATGCCTTTTGAGAATATAAGAAAAAAATTGTTAACAGTAGTAATCTGTTAAAGGTGGGGTTTGGTTCAAATGCAGCTTTGCGTGGATATCCATGACTTTTCATAACATATACCATGTTGCTCTTTCTTACACTGCTGTTTAAAAATTTTCACGAAAATAGTTGTGGTTAAATATGTTTGCTAGAATGTTGTGCAATATTCTGTTTGTTACTGCCTTCTCTTTCTTACATACTGCAGACCAAATGAAAGGCAAAAAAAGGGCTAAAGGATTCATGCTTCTGATCACTGTCACAACATAATGCAGTGCATGTTTATGTACTGGGGATCCCATAAAGTGTTGATATGAAGAGTTCCTAAAGAGAAGGAAGTACCAAGGTTTTGTTCTTTCATTTGAATGCACACAAAAACTTTAAAAGATTTAATTTTACAATAGAGATTTATATGAGCAGATCCAAAGGCCCATCTGAAGACAGTTTAGTGTATTGTCATATAGGTCCTGACAAGGAGAGGTCTGTAGCCACCTTAAACCCAGGATAACAGGACGTTTACTTTTACTTGCCCTTTCTCTGAGCAGCTGGAGGCAAGAGCCGTAAGTGTCCTGCTCTCTCCATCCGTTTCTCCCTCCTCAGCTGACTGCATATAATGTAGATCTATTTCTGCTGACCACTTCCCATCAGTCCACCTTAAAAAAATGAAGAGGGAGTCCTGCTTTAGAAACTTCTCTTTGAGTTTTCCTGGACAGATCCATTCAAAAATGCTTATGATTCTAGCTACTGTGTCTTAGTTGCCAAAATAAATTAGTTCAACTGTGAGAGTGAAGCATTTGCTAAGCAGAAAAATAATTTATAAGAAAAACAAGTAACAAAAGTAGTTTATCTGCTGTGTCATGTGCTGTCATTCTTCTACGTTACTTCTTACCAGAACCAGAGCTGACAGTGTGGTATTGCCTGTAGCATACTGGATGTAGAGTGCTATGTCTGCTACAGCTTCCTGAATTTAACTTCTCCTTATTCCTTTAAAAGGTACGTACCAGGGGCAGTGGACAGGAGGGATGCGACATGGATACGGTGTGCGTCAGAGCGTACCCTATGGCATGGCCACTGTGATCCGTTCACCCCTCCGAACGTCTCTAGCTTCACTTCGGAGTGAGCAGAGCAACGGCACTGTTCTGCATGACGTCACCTCAGACAGCCCGGCTGGAACAAGAGGAGGTTTTGTGCTCAATTTTCACAGTGATCCAGAAGCCATGGGCATTAAGAAAAAAGGAGGCTTGTTCAGAAGAGGATCCCTTCTTGGTAGTATAAAACTTAGAAAATCAGAATCTAGGTCATCGATATCTAGCAAACGGAGCTCTGTCAGGAGTGATGCTGCTATGAGCAGAATTAGTTCTAGCGATGCCAACTCTACAATTAGTTTTGGAGACGGTGACTGTGATTATAGCCCTATGGAAGACCATGTCGATGCCACCACTACAGAAGCCTATATGGGTGAATGGAAGAATGACAAGCGCAGTGGTTTTGGTATCAGTGAGCGTTCAAATGGTATGAAATATGAAGGAGAATGGCTGAATAACAGGAGGCATGGATATGGATGTACGATGTTTCCAGATGGCACCAAAGAAGAGGGAAAGTATAAAAATAACATTTTGGTCCGTGGAATAAGAAAGCAACTTATACCAATACGAAACACAAAAACTAGAGAAAAGGTGGATAGAGCAATAGAGGGTGCACAGCGAGCAGCTGCCATGGCAAGAACCAAAGTGGAAATTGCAACTTCAAGGTATGTTGTTAAATGCAAGGTTGTAAAAGTTGACTTCAGTGAGTACTTGCTTAGCATTACACATACAAAACTTAGAACTTCAGCTCCTTTGAGTAAAGATGTTTGTGTATGTTCCGTGATATACTGTGAAAGTAAATTTCCATTCTCGATACATTTCTGCTTTCACTCAAGAGCTGCTGTGTTATACCTTTAAACCTGTTTGGAAAATAAAACTGGTGAGGTAGTGTAGCAGATTATTTGGGAGACATGAAGCAAAGATTGAATATCTTTCCATAAGCATGTTCCAATTATGCTTATTGTATTGTTGATTTTTTTGGGTAGCATCTGAAAATCACTGAAGTTGCTCAGTCTTGGGCATCTTAAGATGCATCTGTTTATCTGAGAGACGGTGGTATGAACAACATAAGAATAATGGTCAGTGCTGTTGTTCTTAGAGGCTGTTCATTTGGTTGCCAGGGCAGTATCTGCCAGAAGAGTTCTGTATGAGGTCTCTTCCATTTTGGAGAATGCTTCTCCTGCGTTGTCTGATCATAAGACCACCACTTCAAATAGTGGTGGTTGTCTTCTCCCTGTGCCTCTGCCAAGTGTTTGAGATGGGAGAAGTGTATAGGTATTAGCAGTGGGGAAAGATGTCATTTACACTTTGAACTCCTAAACAACAACCAAGCAAAATTGTTTGAAATAGAATTGTTACAAATTAAATCAGTATAGACAATTTTAATGGGCTTTACTATTAAGTTTGAGAGCTCTTCAAAAAGCTATTCAATTTTTAATGCCTTCCAATGACTTTCTGTGGCAGTTTCTCTGTTGTTGGTTTTAGTTTGTTTCCTCAGGCAGTCTTTTTTTGAAATATGCTTTGGATAAAAAAAAGAGTCCAGAAATGTGCATGAAAGAAAATCTTCATGCTATTTTAGAAAGAGGATGTCACATTACACTTAGAGCTGAACAACTGATTCCTGATTTAGTGTGGTCACTAGTGTGTCCTCAGTGACTATCCTTTTTCTGACAGTCATAAGGAATACGGAGAATACTAAAACGTGCATAAGTGGAAAAGCTTGAACATATAGATGGCTCACAGCAAAAAGTAATTGAGACACTAACGTGAAGAATTTAGCGTACTGGTGAAGAACCTTTCTGAGTACTGGTCACCTAAGTAACTAGAGGGTAGCATATACTCAGTTACTTCTATAAATATATGTAAGGTGAACCCATAGAGGCCATTCACTTCAGAGTTGGACTTGATGGAAAAAAGGGCTGGCTACTCAGGAAGAGTTTAGGAATATAGTTAGGTCATGTAGAAAGAAAATTAGAGAGACAAGGGCACAACTTGAACTTAATCTCGCCACTTCTGTGAAGGATAACAAAAAGTCCTTCTACAGATACATCAATAGCAAAAGAAGGGGCAAAGAAAACCTCCATTCTTTACTGGACATGGGCAGGAATATAGTTATCAAAGATGAGGAAAAGGCTGAGGTATTTAACACCTTCTTTACCTCAGTTTTTACCAGTAAGACAGGTTGTCCTGAAGACAGCTGGCTTCTGGGGCTTGTAGAAAGAGATAAGAATCTGAATAGCCCCCCTGTAATCCAGGAGGAAACAGTTAGCGACTTGCTGAGCCACTTGGATCCCCCCAAGTCTATGGGACCAGATGGGATCCACCCAAGGGTGATGAGGGAGCTGGCGGAAGTGCTCGCCAAGCCACTCTCCATCATTTACCAACAGTCCTGGCTCACTGGGGAGGTCCCAGATGATTGGACATTGGCAAATGTCACGCCAATCCACAAAAAGGGCCGGAAGGAGGACCCGGGAAACTACAGGCCCATCAGCCTGACCTCAGTACCTGGCAAGGTTATGGAGCAGATCATCCTCAGTGCAATCACACAGCACCTACGGGATGGACAAGGGATCAGACCCAGCCAACACGGGTTTAGGAAGGGCAGGTCCTGTCTGACCAACCTGATCTCCTTTTATGATCAAGTGACCCGCCTGGTGGATGAGGGGAAGGCTGTGGATGCAGTCTACCTGGACTTCAGCAAAGCCTTTGACACTGTTTCGCACAGCATACTCCTGAAAAAGCTGGCAGCCCAAGGCTTGGACAGGGGCACTCTGTGCTGGGTTAGGAACTGGCTGGAGGGCCAGGCCAGAGAGTGGTGGGGAACGGTGCTGCATCCAGTTGGTGGCCGGTCACTAGTGGTGTCCCCCAGGGATCAGTGTTGGGCCCAATGCTATTTAATATCTTTATTAACGATTTAGATGAGGGGATTGAGTCCACCATCAGTAAATCTGCAGATGACACTAAACTGGGTGGGAGTGTCAATCAACTGGAAGGCAGGAACACTCTGCAGAGGGACCTGGACAGGCTGGAGAGTTGGGCTGATTCCAACGAGATGAGGTTCAACAAAGCCAAGGGCCAGGTCCTCCACATTGGCCACAACAACCCCATGAGAAGAGCAACGAGGCTGGTGAAGGGACTTGAACACAAGTCCTATGAGGAGAGGCTGAGGGAGCTGGAGTTGTTTAGCCTGGAGAAGAGGAGGCTCAGGGGAGACGTCATCACTCTCTACAACTACCTGAACGGAGGTTGTAGCCAGGTGGGGGTTGGTCTCTTCTCCCAGGCAACTATCAGTAAGACAAGCGGGCATGGTCTTAAGCTCTGCCAGGGGAGGTTTAGGTTAGATATTAGGAAGAAATTCAGCCATTGGAATGGGCTGCCCAGGGAAGTGGTGGATTCTCCATCCCTGGAGGTTTTTAAGATGAGATTGAATGTGGCACTTAGTGCCATGGTCTAGTATCCATGGTGGTGTTGGATCAAGAGTTGGACTTGATGATCTCGGAGGTCCCTTCCAACCCAGCTGATTCTATGATTCCATGATGATCCTTGTGGGAGCCTTCCAACTGAGAATATTCTGTGATTGTATGACAGCATACCATGTTAGCAAAGCAGATCAATAATACGTAACTTGAAGAAAGTACTGACAGTTTAATGTTCTGTCAGTACATAATAAGTCCTAGTTCTGAAAAATGTGGGTTGATGTGATGTGTGGAAAGGGGGAGTCAATGTAAAGCTATTAAGAAATTGTAGTCTGAGACCATTAGGTTCTAAGGCAACAGTGTATGCACTTCCTCTTTAAGAAGTGATATGTCTCTGAAGAGTTTTATTTGCTTTTCCTTCCCTTCGATTTTAGGTGGAGGACAGAGTTCAAATTGCTTCTTTTGGAACAATTCATGAAAACAGTGTTTATTTCTTGAAAATACGTTTTTGGAAGTGCAACAACAGAAGGCATCAGCTGTAAAGTGCAGCTGTGATCCTGGGCTATCTATCTCTCCTTCTGGTTTCTTAACTGAGAGTCTCTTTGAAACAGACTCATGACTACCAGTATGGATAGCAAGATTGCAGATTGAGATTTCCTGTCTTTTTAGTAGCCATTGCATTAACTATACTCGCACTGATTCAAAGGCCAAAGACCTGACACCAAGTCAGGCATTGTCAGGCATGAAGAATGCATTAACTTGACTTGTGAGTGCATGCTGGACTCACCTAGTAAGAATGACACAACCCTTCCCATTTCTCGAGTTTTCAGAATTGTCTTTAGTAGCAATGAGTAGGAGCAAGGCCATGGCACTGTGGGAACTAAGGGACTGTCATACTGGCAGAGTCAGTAGCACTGACTGTCTTAAGAGCCAGGTTATCTGGGAGACATTCTAGAGTAGCATTGAGGAAAAAGCTTCCAACAGTTGCTAAATTCTAGGTTGACTGGATTGGTACAGTTCATGATGAAAGAACTTCCGTCTCACTGAAACTTGAGGACCAGTATTAGTGTGACTGCATTTTTTACCAAACTGATATACTAATAGTACGTTAATCCTTCAGACAGTAGCATTCCTGCAATGTCTTCTCAGTCGAATGTGAGGATGGTGGTCTTGTCTCTTTCTAATGATCACTACTACACGAAATGTCTGGAAGGAAGAGTACCTTTTATCATCTCTCTAATATGTAATACTAAGGTGGTTCTGCCCATATGGCATAACCTCATTGCACACTGGCCTGTAAAACGTTCTGTGTTTCAGACTGGGCAGATGTCACCAGCAATGTGTGCTTACTGTAGATTTCCATTACATTAGTGGAAGAACTCTCTAGATAGACCTCTCACCCCCAAAATCAACTAATATCCAGGTTTTCATTCAAAAGGGCTAGAAACCTTGACTCTTATCCAGATAAGTGTCTTTTCAATGCAGCTTTTGAGTTGCATGCTGTTCTTTCTGTATTGTTTATTCCCAAAGTGTTCGCTCTGAAAACAGTCCATACTCCTCTTCATAGCTCCCTGCTGGTCATGACAGGTTTAGCTGGTAGTTTGACCTATGACAGATGTCCACACAGTCGTCAACAAGACCAACCACTGTTTTGCTTTATATTCCTGATGTCTTTTTGTGTCTAAAAGTCCTCCTTAATAATCTGTGTACTCTTCCTTTATCTAAAATGGCAGTTTGGTGTATACAGAAAAATCTAAAAGTTGGGGTAAATAGTGCTTCTCTGAACCTGAATTTACACTGGCTCTCCTAACTTAGCCTTTGGATTTTTGAGACATTTGTACTGAGGTGTTTTGGAAAGCATAGCAGCATTTCTCAAAAGACACCAGATCACAAAATTGTGGGGTGTATAAAAAGCTTCTGTATCAGGGAAATAATTAGCAGCCTCTGCTACACGGGTCTGAATTCAAAACAGATTATAAATTAGCCATGAATAAAAATGCTTTTAAAATTATAGCACAGCTTAATAGTATTGATTGTGTATTAGACTTTTACTAGCTGTATTTAAGGAAAAATATCTCGATGCAAATATAAAAATCCCAGAATTTGAGAAACTTCAGAAGTATGTTCAATATTTTTTGCTTTCAAAATATTAAAAGTTGCTTTTTTAATATCATTATTATAGACAGTAATTAATTCAAATTTGTCTTTAACACATTGTGCAAAAAGCAGTCAGGTTTGTATGCCTTTTT